AAAAAGTTCAAAGAATAAAACTAAATAAAAAAAAATGATTACAACAGTTTGTAAACCCTAGCCGATCTTGCATTTTTATCATGAAGAAATTATGCCCTAGCAAAGCTTTTGAAGGTCTTGATGTCCTAACGAAATTGCCGAAAGTCCCTTGTGAAGCCAACAAGCATGTCGAATGCCCTAGCAAAGCTATTGTGCGTTGATTTCTCTCATTCATTTAAGTTCTTTTCTCTCTCCCGGTAGTGCTTTACCAAAACCAAACATATCCTTTTTTTTTTGGGGTATGAGCTCGTTGATCGAGTGTACCACATACATGTCTAATATCATTTTTTTTGAGTATGATCTCATTAATCAAATGTCTAATATCATTCTGTTTGGTTTCAGTTTTTAGAATTCACTTTTCAGAAAATTTTACTTTTTCATTTTTCGTATTTTTTTATTTTCACTTAATTTTTTTAATTTTTAGACACCACATAAAACATAATTAAAAGTATAATATTTGTGAAAAAAATCTTTAAAAAATTATCTAATTACCAAAAATACAAAAAAAAAAATTCAATATATTTTTGTGTATTTATTAATTTTTTAATATAGTTTTTTACAAATATTTTACTATTTAGATACATCTAAATAAGGTGCATCTAATAAATAATATTAAAAATTATATATGGGCGAGGTGGGTTAGAATTTAGAAACTAAATTTCAAGTCCAGCCTAAAAATTAAACACCTCCAAAAAAAACTAATCTAGTTTGGTTCTATTGGCCAAAATTTTATGTTTTAGAATTTATATATATTTATATAGATAAATAATATTAAAAATTATATATGGGCGAGGTGTGCTAGAATTTAGAAACCTAAATTTCAAGTCCAGCATAAAAATTAAACAATTCAAAAAAAAAACTAATCTAGTTTGGTTCTATAGGCCAAAATGTTTACGTTTCTACAAAAAATTTCATAATTTTTTTTTTTTTTTGAAAAAATGAAAATTAGTTTGATAAAAATAAATATAAAAAATATAATGTAAAATTTTTAAAAATTATTTTCGGTCTCCCATAAGATAAAATTATATAAAAATGATAGGTATTTTTTTTAAATTTCTTTCACAAAACTAATTTTTAATTTTTTAGACAATCAAACCAAACATGGACAATCCTTAAGCCTTGAGAAAATTAGGTTTGGCTGGTTAGAGGGCAAGCCAATAGGCCAAAGCCCACTTGTACAAATTAATAAATCTTATAAATTTTTTATTTTTCTTACTAACAAATATATCATGCAATAATGATATTTTAGAATTTGAAATAGTACTTACTACAATAGTATAATTGATGTTTGTAAAATTTATAGGTTTATATAGCATTAGTCATATCAAAACTCAAAATTACAAAATCACCCTCTTAAAAAAAAAAAAAAAAAAAAAAAAAAGGGGTTCAACCAAAAAAGGGGTTCCTCCCTCTTTTTTTATCTGCGATATCAAAAAAGTAGATTAGTTTGACAAGACTTGTTTGTATAATCTAGTCCCACTTTATTATTTTTAACTCTCCGTTTGTTTTTTATTTTTGTTTTTAAAATATTCTCTACCTACCAAGCAAATGCACACAATCTCTCCCATATCCGACCTTCACAGCTTTTGATTCGCTCCCTTTTTTTTCCGTTGTCGAATGTGAAAGGCTACCAAATAATAAAATGTTAAACATGCACATCGAAAGCCGGGTACCCAATAATACAATATTATTTTTCATTAAAATCACAATAAATTTCAATTTTAAAATACTAAACAACCAAATTCATCATCCCCTGCATCATGGCTCAACTCAATTTATGCAAATATAGAGAGTAGTTACACATATTAGAGTGAGAGAGAAATAAAGGGGTGTATAAACCACCGTGTGATGGCGGCGCCGGAGAGTGGTGAAAGCGGAGGCAGAGGCAGAGGAGGAATATGGAAAGCACACGCAGCAATGGGAATAGTACAATTTTCAATAGCAGGATACAATGTGGTCACAAAAATAGCTCTCAACGTTGGCGTCAATCGATTAGTCTTCTGCTCTTACCGCGACATCCTAGCTTTTTCTATTCTCTCTCCTCTTGCCTTTTTTCGTGAAAGGTTAGTCCCTCTCCTCAAACAAATAAATTCTACACGAATTGTAAAAAAAGGGGGTAAAAATATAGTCACGATTTGGAAAAATCATCAATTTTCTTGTGAGTGTGATTTGGATAAATAAGATGTGCTTCAAGCTAAAAGTCATACATGTTATACCCATATCTTTACCGTCGCTACTGCTCAAATTCCATCGTTTTTGTTGTTGCTATCGTGAACGTCATTGACCAGATCTCAAGAGCATCCACAACTGTCAAGGAAAAGGGTTAAGAGAAAAAAAAATTAGTAGGGGTGTTAAAAATTTAAAAATCTATGAAGGATATAAGGGGAAAAACAAGCTTTATCAGAATTGAAGAAAAACTCTCAAATCTCTCTTCTTATCTATAAAAAAACCAGATTTATGCTATGAAAGTATTTTTGAAGCTCACCAAAAAAATATTATAAAGGCATTGGAGAGCGTTGAGATTCTCTAGATAGAAGCTTTCATATCCCTCCCTAGGTTTTGCTTTTGAACAACTTGAATGCTAAGAAGCTCAACTCAAACAATTTTACCATGAACACAAATGATTTTTACAGAATCAAATACAGATTTGAGACAAATATAAACAAACTAACAAAAATGCCTTTAGTATAGGGAATTGAAGTGTAATTGACCCTTTTTAATTTCCAAATTCTTTTCTCTATTTTTTAATACACTTTTAATTATGAATTATACAAAAATCTTAAAATACCTGTATCTCAAAGTATGGTCAAATAATTAAAATTGCATTTTAAAAAAATAAAATAAAAAAAAAATGAGAAACTTACATCTAGACCCACTACAAATGTCAGTGTGATTATCAGATCCACCATCCCACCATACCCATGTTTTGACACAATGCCATAATGACTCCACTAGGCCACTGCTACTGTTTTTTTTTTTTTTAACAACAGTATACTGTTACAATTATTATTTATTTTTTTTAAAGATGGCCCAGCATTCTTTGCTTTAAATATATTTTTAGTACTTAAATATCTGTATTTTACACCGTATTAGTCTTAACATTTCAGTTATATTAATTTTATCTACAAGTATTACATATATGTTAAAGTAGTTCTCATGATTTATACGGTTAATATTCACCATGTTTGTTTTCAGTTTTTTGAAAATACTTTTTAAAAAATTATACTTTCTTATTTTTAATATTTTTTTGCTTTTATTGATTTTTTTTAATATTTTAAACAATTTTTTTTTTAATTTTTAAACACACCTAACATAAATACACTTAAAAATTACAATTTTCGTGAATTTTTTTAAATACCGAAAATATCGTATTTTTGTTTATTTATTAATTTTTTAAAATATTTTTTCAAAAATATTTTACTTTTTAGATATATCTAAGTAAGGTACATTTAAAAAAAGTAAAAATATGCTTAAAATTTTAAAAATATTCACTACAAACAAAAAAAATATGAAAAATAAAAAAAATTAATTTTCAGAAAATTAAAACCAAACACACTAATTGATTGAACTTATCTACCAACTCAGAAGAAAAAAAAAAATAAAAATCAAAAATCAAAAACAGAATTTATAGAGTTTTGAATCAAAGGTGAAGATTTATTTGTGAAATGACTCCACAACAAAAAGATTAAACCTACACCATAGATCTGGATTCTTTTCTAATTTCATATATTGTTTGGTATTTATTATCATAATCATAAGTATTTTTTGAATAAAAAATCACATCTTAGCAAAAAATAAAAATTAAGTTCTTAATAATTTGACTTAACAATACAAATTACATATTATGTTAAAATGGGGGGACTACTTATATATATATTTTTTTAATCTTAAAGGACCTGAGTGTGATTTATCCAAATTAAAAGCAGAAGAAAAAATAATTTTTAAAAATAGTTGAGGAATTAAGCTCAATCGAAGCATATTAATGAGAGAAACAGTAATAACAGAAACAAAGATTATATGTGAATTCCAATTGTATGGGCACAACTAACATTTATTTTTAGTTATGTGCTTCTCGCTAAAATCCAAGATCAAAACGCACCCCAAACCAAAAACACATTAAACAAAGAAATAATAATAAATTGAAAGAGCCGTCTAGAATTCCAAGTTTGGGGACCCGTTTCAGGACCAAAATTTAAAATTATGGAAGCAGAACCTCCAAATCCAGCAATTGCTTAGAGTATCTCCAACGGTTTATTATTTTTTTTACTAAATTTGAGTAAAAAATAGTTGATTTTCTCAATCTGATATGGCTGAAACGGTGCATCAAAAGGGAAGGGTCATCTGGTGGGTCGATCGGCCGGTTGACCGGTAAGACTAAATTTTTTTTTTTTAAACCTGTTTGAACCCTTTGGATCTTGTTTGAACCTATCTATTTGAAAGGGAACCGGTCGATCGGTGGGTCAACTGGCCAGAGATCCGGTTGGTTGACCGATTGGCCCATCCCAACGTTATAGCACAGTGAAATACTAAAATCGCGAGCTTATTCTCAGTTTGATGAAAATTTTGTTCTGTTCTCATTTTGATATCAATTTAGTGAAACCATTAGAGACACAAACAGTGGCTTTTTCATCAAATTTCAAATCTAATGCTAGGTTATATATATATCTATCTATCAATACTATTATAAAGTGAACACTCCTTATGGTGTGTCGAAACCTTTGTTTCTTTTGCTGCCACGTGTCTACTTTTTTATTTGAAATAAAAAAAAAAAATTAGATAGATGAGAGGAGGGGATTTGAACCTTAAACTTATGTCAAATGAATAAGACTCTTACCATTTAACTAGCACACAATATATGATAAATATTTTATTTTATTTATATTTATTAGAATTACACACACATCACGTGTGATAACCGCTAATATATATAAAAAAAAAGAAGGGCAAAAGTTTGATTGTGGTGACCCAAGACTATGGCTATATATATAAAACAAGCCTCCGAATATTCTGAAGAATATGTGGTTTTGGAATTTTTACAAGTTGTTAAAGGAAAGTAAAGTCAAAGTTTGACTATAAAATAAAATAAAAAAATGTAGGCCTTTATTTTTTTTAAGAAAAAAAAAAGATGGTGATAATGGGTTCTTGATTTGAATTCATATTTTTTTTATAAAAAAAAAATAAAATCAGCAGACAAAAAAAAAAAAAAAAAAAAAGATATTTATTTATTTAGTTAATATTATTTGTCTATTTTATCCGTAATTTACGGTGAGTCCTCAGCTTTATCCATAGATTCTATTAAGATCAAATATTTCCAAAGACGTAATGTAAAGCACGGCTAACAAGGTGAAACTATGCATGTTCGAGAAAATTACAATTTCTCATACACGCAAGGGGCAAATGTAAAAGGAGCTAATTTGAGCCCATTAAATTAATTAGCCCCAATAGTCCAAGGTTGGTGGGCTCGAATTTATCGCAAGTTTAATATTGGTGGGCCCGGGTTTTTTGCCATCAAACGGGCCGAATCGCTCTAACCCTCGAAAGGGTTCGGATCCACGAACTTAGAGACTTACTCGGACCTGGACTCGAAAGGATATTAAGCAAGCCTAAAGATCCGAGGCACTTGGACTCGAAAGGGTTCGGATCCACGAACCTAGAGATCCGAAGCACTTGGCTTCGAACGGATTCAAACGCAATCTAGAAGTCGCTCCGTTAATGAGTCCCAGAACACTTGCGGGTTCGGAGCTTTTCAAGATCTACGCACCAGAACCATGGGCATAATAGAGTTCGAACAAAGGACCCGATCCCGAGAACGGTGAGTGAAGATAAATTCACTCTTTCGGTTAAACTAGCCTATACCCGGGTCGAGGTGGCACGATCTAGGGGGTCCCTAAGACTCGGCAATATTTGCGACAGGGTGTTCTTTTGAACTACCCCTGACCCTTATGCGGCAGGACGTCCTCTGGGACAACCCCTGACCCTTTGGGATGATTGGGGATCATTGGTTAGGTGTGGCTAAGAAGAAGGGTTCGCCGAGAGGTTGATTTCCTCTTCGGATTTTTTCTTATCCTCGGAGAGGTCACCTCCTCGGATAAGGTAGTTAGAGAGAATATTCCCCATGTGCTTTGCACATAGGCTCCATCCTACATCATGAGGTGCCTATAAATAACACCCACCCATAACTTTACAAGGGATGGATTTTGGAGATTTAACTCTTGGGAAAAAACTAATTTCCCTTCTCTATTATCAACCTTGAGAGTAAAAGTAGGAGATCCATGGGAGAGCCTTGCCATTATTCTCTCTCTAGCCAGTTTACCTTCTTCTTCACCCAATCTCTTATCTCCATCATCTCCTTTACTCTTGTGTTCTTAAGTTGAGACTATTGAAGAATCTAAGCCTCCTATCATCTTCTAGAGAATTCGAAGTTGTTCTTCAAGGATCTTCGAAGATCTTCGAATTTTCCAACAGCTTTCCTGAACCCTCTCATACATACTTTTTTTTTTTAATCTTTTTTAGGTTTATCCAAACCAACCCTAAGTACCAACTCGGAGTACTTGAAAAACAAACCGAGTGAGTCTAACTCGTTGGTGGACTACGAAGATTGGCATGTGGGTACAGGTCACTGGTTCAAATCACTCCAATTATGGCTAGTTTTGCATAGTTACGGGATTGCAAACCTCCAGAGCCATATCTGATCCGATGTCAGGATAGCCAAGATGTTTGAAGGGTTCGTAAAGTCTGAGCCAAGGTTGGTGTGTTTCAGATTAAATCGTACCCAGAATCCGACCCGTGTTACACAGATATGTTAAACAGGAATCCACTGGAGTGGGTAGACTCATCGGGTCGGGCATACATGACCGACCCACACGATAGCATGTGGGATATACATGTCGAGGTTTGCAGTACTTTTTTTTTTAATCTTTTTTAGGTTTATCCAAACCAACCCTAAGTACCAACTCGGAGTACTTGAAAAACAAACCGAGTGAGTCTAACTCGTTGGTGGACTACGATGATTGGCATGTGGGTACAGGTCACTGGTTCAAATCACTCCAATTATGGCTAGTTTTGCATAGTTACGGGATTGCAAACCTCTAGAGCCATATCTGATCCGATGTCAGGATAGCCAAGATGTTTGAAGGGTTCATAAAGTCTGAGCCAAGGTTGGTGTGTTTCAGATTAAATCGTACCCAGGATCCGACCCGTGTTACACGGATATGTTAAACAGGAATCCACTGGAGTGGGTAGACTCATCGGGTCGGGCATACATGACCGACCCACACGATAGCATGTGGGATATACATATCGAGGTTTGCAGTGGGGCCCACGCTGACAGAAGAGCGCCACATACATTGTTGCCGCTTGGAAGTTGATTAAGGAGGGAGTTGATCCTCTCTGCTCAAGGAAAGCTACCTTTAATTGTGTGAAATGTGAAAGACTAGAAAATTTGTTGTGGGTGAGTGTGTCATTCACACAAGTTCCATATATATTTGTCGTTGAATAAGATATAAAATAAAATAAGCAAAATGTTTAAAATTTTTAAAAAATATTCATAAATCTATCCATAATGTCAATTTTTAATTTGTTAAACATTTAATTATAGTGAGCCCAACTCCCATGCCATATTATGAATTTGTGGGTATGTATGTGTGGATTTCTAACATTACTCATAGAGTAATTGTAACGATGGAATAAAATAATATATTTGTTCATATTCTTTTATTATTATAAATAAAAATTATTCTTAAATTTGAAAGTTGTATAATGTAATGAAAAAGTACGAGTTAATGCACAAATAATGTAATTTCGCTTAATTTTTTGATTCTATAAAACTCATGAAATTAATTAATTTTCTTCCTCTCTCGTCCATTATGTTTGGGAAATTGGAGAGTAAATAATAAGATTATATGCTTAGAGATAAGATAATTATAAAATAAATTTAATGCGCAAATAGAGAAGTTGTATAAATTTAATGCATTAATAAATTAGTGTCATGCAATTTTTAAATTTCAGAAAGGGCTTGGCTTCTGTCCAGTCCTTAATCAAATTGGACTGTGCTGTTGGACCTGTGGAGGCCCACCACGGGTCCCGTTTTGATAATCTGAACCGTTCAATGTGTAGAACTTGTCGAGTACTATAAGATTGTAAAAAATCATGTTAATCGGATATCGGTAGCTATGTGATCAAATCAGTTTTGTATAAAAAAATGGACGGTAAATTAATTAACGGTTGACAAAAATATGATTTGATCATATAACTACCGATATCCGATTAACGTGATTTTTTACAGGCTTATAGTACTCGACGAGTTCTACACATTGAACGGTTCAGATTATCAAAACAGGACCCGTGGTGGGCCCCCACAAGCCCAACAGCACGGTCCAGTCCGATTAAAGACTGGACAGAGGCCAACGCCTTTCAGAAAAAGAACAAGAAAAAAAGCTCATTAACGCGATTTTTTACAGGCTTATAGTACTCGACGAGTTCTACACATTGAACGGTTCAGATTATCAAAACAGGACCTGTGGTGGGCCCCCACAAGCCCAACAGCACGGTCCAGTCCGATTAAAGACTGGACAGAGGCCAACGCCTTTCAGAAAAAAGAACAAGAAAAAAAGCTCATACTATCTATACTATTATTAAAAGCCAACAACTACTTTGGTATCTTGAAGCCATCCTCTCATAATTTTTTACTAATTTTTCTAAAATAACCTTAGCTTCTTCAATAATTATACTATTTTTAAACTCATATCAATGTATAATTAAGGATAAAATCATAAATTATTAACTCACAAAATATAACTTCCCACATTAAATAACTTCCCATGTTCAATAATTTCTTTCAACTTCCATCTTCTTTCAACCCCACCACACGGCTTTGCCACCTCTATTGCATGCTTTTGTTCATTTCCCTCTCTTCACTCCTTCCTCTACTCCCATTCTTCTCTGTCCCCAAACCCAAACTACACAGAAAGAAAAGAGAAAAAAGGAAAAAGAAAGAGTAGAGATAACCAAGAAGAAGAAATCAGTTTCCATGGCCGTTGAAGCACACCTTCTTAATCTCGATGGCGTTTGTACCCAAGGGAATACAAGTTTAGGCTGTTTGATGTAATTGTTTGCGAGAAGTATGCTTTAAATTTCTTCGAATCATGTATGTATGAGAACTTTTTGCATGGATTATATATATACATTACATTGTAAATTGAAATTTTTGTATGGATTATACACACACATCCGAGACCCGTCACAAACACCGAAACCATCACCATCATCATCAACGCCGCGAAGATCGTACGGCCCACATTCCTCCCCGAAACCAAACATTGTGCAATCGCTAACCCCCTCATCACCTCCATCTTCCTCAGTAACCATAA